AGTAATATGTTTGCCTGTTGTATAGATAGACACATCGATTGACAGACTGCAGGCAATATTTATATATAATTTTCAAACATTTTAAACTGGCGGAAGATATAATGCTTTCTTGATAACTATTTTAAAATTGAAGAGCTTTGTAGTAGAAGACAAGTTGACCCGTTCTTTTAATGTTACATTGAAAAATGCAGGGTAGGCTGTGTGAGCAGCATAGAGATTATGCAGTATGGATGGTGAGATTGCAAAGCCATGTTTGGATTCAAACGAGATAAATACAAACCTTTCATTGTGCAAACTTCAGTTTGACTCTTAGATTATGATTCCTTGAATCACATCGGTACCGTCTATACTTTTGGCTCTTACCTATTCTTATCTCATCTGTTCATATTATGTAATTCCATTATGTGACTAACGTTGCCCTTTTATCCTTTTCATTCTATTATGTCATTCCATTGTTCCACTTCAAGCTTCGCTTCTATATTTCTTGTTTCTTTTCTTGCATGCTATCTCTGTCTTGAACCTCATTGTGCTGTCTGTGAAAAGCTAACGTCTAAACCTGCACAGGTAGTGGCGGTTAAAGGTTCACTCCCACCCCCTTAATAATTTATGTTCAATAAAGTTGTTATTGAGGCAGAAGTGTGAGTGATAGGCTGAGAGTGTCATGTCCACCTATTATGTAGGTGGGAGTGTTGCTTCAAGGTAGGAGTGTTGCTTCAAGGTAAAAATGTTAATTTTTGTATCAAACAACTGGGAAAACCAAGCCAAGAAAAACCAGTCCAGCACTTCAGGAGTATTGTGACCTATAGCAAGACTTTGGATACAGAACTTTATGTTCCATTCTTTCCATCTATTTCAGATGCTATGGTATTCCTGGCCATGTTTTCTATATCCAGTGTACCCAGTATTAAACTTATGCTGAATTCCAGGACATGTAGCCTTGCTTGTTTAATGTACATTAACCTGGAGTCAGTTTCCTTAACATCCATGGTAGTTCTCCCAGGATGAACCTTTTTCTACTTGTTACTGGGATTCATCTATTGTCCCATTTCCGTTTCCTGACTCAAACACTTTAGTCTTACCTGATCGACTATTTGTTGCTGACTTTTGTTATCAATGTAAAGTAACACTTACTCAATGCTATGCAGACACTGTAGAAAAAACTACTGTCCCTGTGTTGCACAAATGATAAAATATTGCTGAAAAAGCCATTGTTAGGCAATAGACACTAGTGCTACAAGAATCACTGTCACTTGTGGGATCTTTGCATTTTTGGGTAGATTAGCTACAACAATATGCTTTCTCCCCAATATTGCTAAGCTTTCTGCTGCCATATTGATTAACAAACCAGGACTAATATTAATAGGAATACTATTTCAGGTATAAGAGTACAAAATGGAGTATATGAAAGATCTCACAACACAGTTCTTTTATAAATATTCTTGTTCATCCAAGATAAGATTGCATAGGCCTCTATTGCATATCATGAGAAAAATAAATGTTCCTATTAAAGGGACTCTCCAGTGCCAGGAAAACAATCTATTTTCCTAGCACTGCAGGTCCCCTCTCCCTGCCAACACCCATCCCCGGTTGCTGAAGGGGTGATGGAATACACCCAAAGTTATTAAACAAGCTTAGTGGTGTACAAGCAAAACCATTAACAGATTTATTTAACCAATCACTGTTAACGGGAGTAGTTCCAGAAGATTGGAAATTAGCAAATGTTGTGAACATTCCCAAAAAGGTAGTAGGGAGGAGTTTAGCAACTATAGACCAGTAAGCTTTACTTCAGTAGTGGGGAATGTAATGGAAACCATGTTAAAGGATAGGATTGTTGAACATCTGAAATCACATGGTTTTCAAAATCAGAGACAACATGGGTTTACTTCAGGGAGACTTCAGGGAGATTAGCTAGCAGAATGCTTGGTTGTATAGGGAGAGGAATTAGCACTAGAAAGAGGGAAGTACTCATGCCATTGTACAGAACACTGGTGAGAACTCACTTGAAGTATTGTATGCAGTACTGGAGACCATATCTCCAGAAGGATATTGATACTTTAGAGAGAGTTCAGAGAAGGGATACTAAACTGGTTCAAGGATTGCATGATAAAACTTACAAGGAAAGGTGAAAGGATCTTAACATGTTTAGCTTTAAGGAAAGACAAGATAGGGGGCATATGATAGAATAGAAATTTAAATGCATTAAGGGGATCAACATAGTAAAGAAGGAGACTATATTTAAAAGAAGAAAAACTATCACAACAGGCGAGGCAAAGGTTTAAAAATAATATCAGGAAGTATTACTTTACTAAGAGGGTTGTGGATGCATGGAATAGCCTTCCAGCTGAAGTGGTAGAGGTTAACACAGTGAAGCAGTGATAACATGTGTGGGGTAGGCATAAGGCTATCCTAGCTATACGATAAGGCCAGGGAGTAATGATAGTATTTATAAAATTGGGCAGACAAGATGGGTTAAATGGTTCTTACCTGTCATCACATTCTATGTTTCTGTGTTTAAGAGTCATGGGCATAAAAAAGTACACATAATGTGTTAAAATGTTAGTAATTTTTCATGTCCATAACAATATTCAAGGTGTGGTCTTACAAATTTTATTTATAAAGATTTATAGAGGCAAAATTATATTTTCATCCAGAGAATAGTTTTTTTTTTGTAAATCATTTTTTTATTCAGGATGTAGCAAAATGCATATATTAAACAGTACCAGCACATGCTGGCATAATGGCAACATTGGTATGCATTTCATGACACAGGCACATCAGGTATAGTTAAACATTTTATTTTTTTTAAAGTAAAGAAGATATCGTTAAGCGAGAAAATGCATAGTGATATTGAATTTGAACTACATTAAGAGAAGAGCTATCCATGACAGAAAAATAAAGGTAAGCTATAGAGGTTCACACACTACAGAGAGTAGTAAAAGCGGTGGCTGTGTGTGGGCACATAAGACTAGCAATTAAAAGAACAAGACGGGCACACATCACAATGTTAAATAAATCAACTGTAAGCTATGATTTAACACATGTGAAATCGGTAGATCACAGGAACAGTCCACTCCTGTCACCCTTTCTGGAGGCTGAAATCATGAACTCAACATGAATGCCACCAGGTGCTTTATCTGGACTCTTTTGGATCAGCTAGCAGGAACCGACTGACAACTCCCTGGTCCTGGGAGCAGGCACAATGCAGAAAGCAACCCCTATAGGGGACAGCCCATTGCTACACTCTTCCTCCTATTGCCAGGAGAGTGTAGAAAAGCTCCCTGGTGCTCATCACCTCAGGTATAGTTACGTGTTTCTGTAGCCGAACACAGGGGTCCTTGAGCGTGGAGCCAGTCATAGGGCAATGCCGTGGTGGACTAGGATAATCCTCACCGATCCTGGGGGAGGCTTGCAGGACTGGTCAGGTGTTCGTGAATGGGAGATTGGCCACGTCACCCATTTTACTTCAACCACTTGGTAACATTCATGATAAACATGATATGAGAGCCAAGACTTCAACCCATAATAAACGGAGGGACACAGTGTTCGTTCAGAAGAAAAGCTTGGTTAATTAGATAGGTAAAGCCTACAAAATTTGAGTGTAAATGCTTTAATCAAAGAAAAATCTCAGGATTTTGGCTTATCTGCATCCAGCTTGCTCAGATGCTCAGCCATGCCCTTTATCCTGAAAATTAATACCCCTATAAACACATAATAGTGACCTTTGCAAATGCCGATTGACATTGCATATTGTTGCCTAGTATTTTGTCAATAACATTTCCCAAATCCTTCCCGTGTGTTGCTATCCCTAATTCACTACCATTTAGGGTGTAAGTTGCTTTTGCATTCTTTACCCTGAAGTAAAGTGCATTTTCTTTTAAATCATTCTTTTTACCGAACGGAGACCACCCTGGGTACTAATTAGAACGTGGAACACTGTAACTAGATGAAAACCTCAGAGTAATTGAATGCTCTTAGGTGGCCGCCATTTAGTGCATACGAACGCACTTGGTGAGAACAATGGACGGCAGCCATCTTGTCTCCCGAACGCGGCCAGCGGGACTTGGTCGTTGAGTGCCTGGAACTGTTTTGAGCATGGTACTCGCACGAACCCTGGTCTTTATGGAAGTCCCATACGTACTACTTCCCAATATGGTAGACGAACAGCATTCGGCAGTTTCAATCAGACGAACAAGAGGAGCATTCTACATGAATCAGCTTCACTCCATCTATGGCGGTTTTCGTATAAATCCATGTGAACGGAGACTGGCTCTTCTGCCAATTCTATGGAACTCTTTGTCGGATTTAACCTCATGGCAGCCCGGTCAAACTTCCACACGGTGCCGTTCGAAAACTACCGAATGGATTTGTCTGAATTTTTCATATGTTACTCCCATCAAGCTCAGCTACCCAGGGATATGGTTTGTGGGATGTTTATGTCTGTTTATGATATTTCTAGAAAATTTGAAATTGTAAAATTTTTCTGGCCAGCAGATAATTTAGTTTAGTATGGTTTCAAAACTCAAATATCTCGCTGGTTCAGAGGCGGAGTTTGATGCTGTATAAATTGAATGCCTTTACCTGCCATTAAACCAGTCTTGTTCCAGCATTAAGATTTGGCTCATGTGTGGATTATTATGCGACACCAGCAATATTTTACCCTGTGGATTATTGGCGATATTACTTTATGGGAATAAAGGAATGACCGACGGTAATACATATTCAGACTGTCACAATTTATACATATGTTATATAGTGATCCCTGAGTGACACCACTTTCCACTTTTTTCTAGTTAGTTAGAAGTAATATAAAAATATCTAGTATAAAAATGCCAGGAGTAGAAAAAGTGTATAAAATACAATAAAAATAAGTATACGATTGGTCCTAGTATAAAAGGTAACCAAAAATAACTTTTATTGATTAAAATACACTTATTAAAACCATTTACGCGTTTCACCTTTGGGGTTTTCTCAAAATGGTAAAAAATTTACCACTTTTATTGATTAAAATACACTTATTAAAACCATTTACGCGTTTCACCTTTGGGGTTTTCTCAAAATGGTAAAAATTTTACCATTTTGAGAAAACCCCAAAGGTGAAACGCGTAAATGGTTTTAATATTGTAAATGGTTTTTATTGTATTTTATACACTTTTTCTACTCCTGGCATTTTTATACTAGATATTTTTATATTACTATTTTATAGTTTTATTATTTTTCATCCATCCATTTTTTTATTTTATTTTTTAACTTGAAGTGTATCCCGTCCAAAGAAATCCTTAGGTGGGGATAATTCCACCAGCGCTGTGGCAATAGAGCAGTACCTGTCTGCTCTATTCTTGTAAGTATAACTCATTGAAAGATATTACTTTGTTGTTCATACTGAGAGTACTATTTGCTGTTTTATATATATTCCGTAGACACTTATTATTCAATACCGGAGAGGCGGACCTATCTCCCAAGCATTAAAGAACAACGCATATCTGAGTAGGTCCTAGCTTATACTACAGGAATTCCAAGCCGGATAGACGGACCAACCATCCAAGTACATCCGTTAGTGGGGATCAAACCACTAAGTGTCTCTTCTCCTAGAGCTGGCTAAAGCTCCACCAAATGTGAGTGAAATACATTTCCTTTGAATATATACCACATCTGGATATACAATATTTCACCATTGGCAGCTTTTTCTTTTTTCTTTTATCTTCACATATATGGACTACCTACCACACGGACGGAGCAACACTTGAGGATTATTATCGTATTACTGCACACCAGTGAGACTGTTCCTATTTATACTTTTTATATATCCGGATGAACTTTACTTGATGTTACTATTACTGCTTATTTTATCTATATATATTTTTATACACTTTTTATCTTTTTGTTCAAGCGCAGCCCTTGACCCCCTTTCCTGGATTTCTGGATTCCTGATCCCATATAAGAAAGGTTCAAGTACCAAGATGATTAAGAGGGGGATAGGGAGAACCCCTGCCTCGTGCCTTTTGAGATTGGGACCGGGATCATGAGTTGGCCATTAATTCTCAGATGCTGTGGGCTTAGAGTATATGGTCCCCAGCTCAGCTGAACCAGTGTTTCTTGAAACTCATGTGTTGCAGTATTGCTAACATCAGGGTCCAGTCCACCCTATCAAATGCTTTTTCTGCGTCGATAGCGAGTAGCGCACTCAGCGTTTTTGACAGTAACGCTGAGTACATCAAACTCAGAAGTGGTATTTTTTGACTCTCGCCCTGGCATGAAGCCAGATTGGTCAGGGTGGACTAGTCCCAACAGCAGCGGTTTTAGTCTATTATCCCAAATTTTAGTTAATAACTTAATGTCGATATTTATTAATGATGTGGGCCTGATTACCACAATTGGATAGGTCTTTGCCCGGTTTGAGAAGTAGAGCAATTGTGGCCTATTAGGACTGGCTGGGTAGGCTGGGTGAGTCTAGAAGCGAGTTAAAGGTGTCTGTTAATGGTTGTGTCAATATCGGCTCCATCGATTTAGAATATTTGGACGTGAAGCCATCTGGGCCTGGACTCTTGCCTAACAGTAGCGCCTTTACCACCTGTTTGACTTCATCAGGCATTATCTGGCTTTCTAAAGCCTCCATGGTATTGCGGGGAATACTGCTTTTGATCCTTTTGGTGAGGTAGTTTCTTATGTCATGCTCTGATGGGGGTTGTTCCCTTAAATTATATAATTGGAAAGTACGAGGTAAAGGTAAACTGTGGGGTAAAGGGTTCTCCAGCCGTCATAGAGTCTCGCCCTGTGAAGGACGGTATGTAGTTGTGTGCGGGTTGGGACCAGGTAGTAATTTATCTAAGGTAATGTTGAGGTCACCCTCAACAATGAGGATGCCTTCCTGAAATTGCTCAATTTAAACTAGAATTGTACGTAGTGCTTGACATTGTTTCCTATTTGGGAGGTACATGTTCGCAAATAGCCTTGCTTAGATACTTGTGGACGGTAGTCTGCGTGGGGGTGAGCTGAATTGCAGAGATCAAAGAATATGTGGTGGTGGTTCCCCCCCTCCTCTGCCCCCCCCACACACACACACCCCTAATCCATTTACCCTAATTGTGCTAACAGTATGGTCTGATGAAAAAGTCTCTTCCTTAGACCCGTGGTGAGTCCAGATTGGAGTGAAACTTAAGTTTTTGACAGGGTAGACTGCGAAGTGTCCATTTTAAATGGGACCTTGTCGGGTGCAGGGTCCCCTCCCCGGAGAGGAGTTCGGGATGTTCGCTCGTCTTTTCTTGGATGGGGTGTTCCACATAGAGCATTGCGGCCTCCGTGTGGTGTCCTGCATTGGTTGTGGCATGTACCAGTCCATGATCGGGGTGTCAGGGAGGTCCAGAGCTTGTAGGAAAGGTTGCACATTCTTGTGGGTAGATATGGAGTGCGTGATTCCTCGATGTGCAACAATTAGGTCAAAAGGGTAGCCCCATCTATATTTTCAGTTGCTTCTTCGTAGCAGTTACTTGATGGGTTTTAGAGCCCGGAGTGCCTGGAGTGTGAGCCAAGACAGGTCAAAGTATGTTTGGATTGGGTTACAGTGGAAGAGGAGTGGAGATGAGGTGGTCTTCAATGTTTGCAGGATGCTTTCTTTTACTGTAAAATAGAGCAGGCAGCATATAATATCTCTTGGAGCCTCTTGGTCTCAACGATCTGTTGGCCCTGTCAAAGAATATTGGCATATCCTGGGTTGCTTTGGGCAGGTGGTTAAACAACTCTGTTAGAATCACCGGTATGTCTTTGTTCTGGCTTTCCGCCATGCCGTGGATTCGGAGATTGTTATCCAGGTCGTCCATAGCTCATTGCATGTGAGTGGGGACATGGAATTGAGCATCCAGAGCAGAAGTAAGGTGATGGATATGAGTGTGGGTCACATCCCTCTCCTCCTCCAGATCCGTGACCCAAATTCCATTTTCATACTTTTAAATTTTTCTGTATATAAGTTATACGCAAGCATGACAACTTTTGCACTACAAAAATAAAGAATTTAAAAGAATTAAAAAAAAAGATGATTGATGTGGAAAAAATATTAATTCTCAGGGGACATATATTAGATGTTGATTTTATTCAAAAATCAAGTATAAAGCAATCAATACAGAAAAAAAGAAGAAACAATAAAAGAAAACCCAAAGTATAGTATTAAGAAGTGGAGCGATATCAAGCTACAATGAGCCCCTCTCCCACATGCAACAAAACTTTCAAAAGGGAAAAAAATACTTATATTTCTCACTGGATGGTACTCCAATTCATATTTAGCATGCAAGAGAAAAATAGAGAATCATAGTACAGATCTGTATGGATTACTTGCACTTCTTAAATAATGCTGGATATCACATAAATTTACTTAATCAGCTGGTTATTAAACAATTTATTGCCAATGTATTACAATATAAAATATAAAAATACAAATATTATATTTAATATAATATATATATATATATATATATATATAGTTTGATTAATGGATGGAATGTGTTAACAGAATCATGGAACTGTATCAGTATTTCTTCACTTTCAGTCCAAACTAAAAATGGAATATTCCACTAAATCTGTGATTTTTTTGGACACCATTGTGACATGTAACAATGGCACAATTCACACCTCTGTTTACAGAAAAGCCACAGACTAGAGATGTCGCGAACCGTTCGCGAATTTCCCGCGAACGGCTCGCTGCGGTTCGTGGCGAGCTCCGGTCAGCTGACACATCCCGGCCAATCTCCAGCAGACCCTCCCTCCCAGACCCCCCCACCTCCTGGACAGCATCCATGTTGAAGCTGCCTTCAACATGGATGCTGTCCAGGAGGTGGGAGGGTCTGGGAGGGAGGGTCTGCGATTGGCCAGGATGTGTCAGCTGACTGGAGCTCGCCACGAACGGTTCGTGGCGAACCGTGGCGAGCCGTTCACAGGAAGTTCGCAAACGGTTTGCGACATCTCTACCACAGACAGGTGTAGTTACCTTCACAGTTTCAAGTTCCACCCCTCCCATACTAAACAGGGCATAATCTACAGCTCAGCCACTAGGTACCATCACATATTCTCTGATCTTAATGACTGTAATTCCCATATAAATGTACTCCCACAATCTATGAGACAGAAAGGCTACAAACCATAGACTATTACCAAATAAATTAACTCTGCTGTAAAAACTCCAGGCACGCGCCTGCTACAGTACAGAGAGAAAAAAATATCTACACGAGTGCCACTTGTGGTCACATACAACCCAGCTCTTGTGGAAATACAAAAAAATCAAGACCTACAACCAATGTTAACAGATGATGAGACACTGAAAATCATTTTCTCTGAAACACCCATTTTGGCCTTCAGACAACCACCAAACCACCAACAAAAATGAATCAACAGGAAGCTGCCCACCGATGGGAAGAATAAAGAAAATGGGACCAGTCAATACAAAAAACCTCACTGCAAACTATGTCAGCAAATATGCACAGACAACACAGACACACACAACAATAAAACCTACAGCATTAAAGGATCATACTCCTGCACCTACTCCTGTGGTATACATGTTTCAATGCACCAAATGCCACCTAGGATGCTACATTGGGGAAACCACCCAGCAATTAAATGGCAGAATGAATATGCACAGACAATCCATTAAACACCACAAAGAAGAATCCTACTGCACTCCTGTGGGACACTACTTTACCCAGTCTGGTCACTTAATGAAGGACCTAAAAATAAAAGTACAGGAAGGGGGTTTTAAAAAGAAAGAAAAACTTTTGAGACCAGAATAATCAAAATTGTTTAACAGCAAGAATAAAGGACTAAATATTGATTTGGGTTTCCTGTCCCACTACAAACACTTTACATGAACACTCCCCTACATTATCTTACTGTTCCGTCATATGTATCAACAATTTAAAACTCATTGCAATATGTGTATTCTATCTATATATGAAGTACTATGTGTAGACCTATGCTTTCCCATACTCTTATGCATGTATGTTTATATGTGACTGTGCATTTATATTTGTGTAACGAGAATATACCCCTACACGCAGGATCCAGCTAAACAGAAGCCAATACAGAGGAGAGATACGTCTACCGGACCTTAGAATGGCCGGACTCGACGTATATGAGA